AAAAAAAAAAAAAAAAAAAAAAAACTAGCCGTTGAATCTTTTCCTTGCTAGCTGGTCACGCGTTGAATTCATGCGCCGACCTTCTTCTTCCATCATCTATAAATACTACATGCCCACTCCCTCGCTACTGTACTGACTCTACTCAAATCAATTCAGCCGTCTTCCATGGTTTCTTCGTTACTTGCTCTTTTCCATCGTTGTTATTTTTTGGGTTTTCTCGATCGATCCCTTCTCTTTGAATTGGTGATACCCTCATGATTCTTTCTTCCAATATGTTCGGAATTGGGGTCCGATTCGTCCCAACGGATGCAGAGCTTATCTACCATCTCCGCAACAAGATCTCCAACCCAGATTACTGTCATCCGTCGATCGTTGTGGCGGACGTATACAAGCAAGCACCGTGGTGTCTGCCTTGGGATCCGGCCAAGAACCGATTCTTTCTTGCCAATGAGCGGTATTATTTCGTTAAAAGAATGGGCACGGGGAAGAGGGCAAAACGCACCCTGGATCTTGGAGGAGATGTAGAAGGTGCGACATGGAAACCCAACCAAAAAGCAACGCCGATACTAGATGAGGGAACCGGTGCTACGATCGGTTATGTAACGTCTCTGACTTTGATCTTCAAGAACAAAGGGAAGGGCGATTGGATAATGCATGAGTACATGATTGACAATGAAAAGAGTGTTCCGGAGTACTGGATTCTGTGTCGGGTAAAGTATACCGGAAAAGGCTCATTATTCATGGCTTCTACTTCGACTTCCACTGCAACTGATGCTCTGCCTCAGACGCCGGAATCCATCGTGATAAGCGAAGGTCCTGATTCGCTACCGCCGTTTAAGAGACGGAGGAATGTTGAATTGGTTCAAGAACCACCAAATCCGGTGCAAGAAACGCGGGGTTTGGAGGATATCGAGGGTTATACCGGTGAAGGGTCATTATTCATGGCTTCTACTTCGACATCGACTGTACCTGATTCTCTGCCTCAGACGCCGCAATCCGTCGTGGTAAGCGAAGGTCCTGATTTGCTACCCCCGTTAAAGAGACAGAGGACAGTCGAATTGGTTCAAGACCCAACAACTCTGGTACAATTAGAAACAGGGGGTTTGAAGGATATGGAGGGTTCGTTTGTTGAGGGAGAAGGTGCAGATGATACTGAACTCTGTGTCGACGAACTAGAAAGGATGTTAAAGCAATCAGATCAAGAGGAAGATGGTTTGGCGGTGGAGAGTCTGGTAGATCAACTGGAACAGCCTTTAGAGGTGTCAGGAGAAGGAGATCATCAGGGTCTGGTTGAAGAAAACATGTGGGAAAACCTCAACTTGGTGGATGATCAGCAGGGTCTGGTTGAAGAAAACTTCTGGGACAACCTCAACTTGGTGGATGATCAAGCTTTTAGTGATGAAGATTAGTTCGTGTCACTGAGCTATTCTGAACTTAATGATCAATGTGTTTAAACCAGGTATTGGTGGTGGAGGGCTGAATTTAGAATGTAATTGAAGTTCAGTTGAGAAGACATTAATTGATAGAACCTGAATTTGGGAAGTACATATATGTGATTCATTCAAGTGTTCACTGAAAGCATTGCCAGAATTAGGAATGTAATTGAAAGTTTCTATCATAGCTAGGCTAGCTAGAGATAAAACCCCTTTATAGGTAGATAAATTTTGTGTTTCCTACTTGACCTGACCCTACTCGGGATGTTTTGAGTTTTGACTGAACTGTGTAAATTTCTTGCTTCTGTTTTTATTATCTTTTCATCATTTGATTGCACGATTTATTGAGATTTTATTTTATGTTCTTATTGCAAAAGATTAGGTAAGTTTAAAATGTTAGTTGAATCCGGAATTATGGGGTATTCAGTAAGAGAAGTTGCTAAGGTGTTACTACATTTGGAAAAATTGAGTAGGTGGTTAATATTCAGTTGCATTCAGAAAACTGTGGGGGTGGCGTTTTGTTCATTTTGCATTACTATAACCTGCAGTTGTTTGGAAGAAGAGAAATTAATGTAAGTTGTGTCTTATCAAAGCTCAAGCGGTAAAGCATTTAAGCTTTTGGAAATAAATAACAACACAACTTTCCTTCATGTTATGGCCAAACAAAAGCCATCTTAACAGAGAAGATTCAGCTAATTATTTTGCATCTTTTGTTCTAAATGAGTGCTAAAGAGAGAAAGAAGGGCTATGGTTTATATACATAATAGAACATTAATTTTCGGATGCAAATCTTAAAGGGTTTTTGAAGTCCAGATGCTTCAATGTTCTGATGTAGCTGTGGATGGATGAGACTCCACCAGTATTGACGAGGGGACTTGGACATCCTCCTATGGACAGGACTTGACATCCTCGTATAGGACATATATTTCTACGCATGTAGTTAGGATCATTCCTTCCGGGTTGGTATTCTCCAGAGATTTCCCCCTGAGAAAATGAGAAATCATCCAGGATTAATGCCCACCAATGCTATCCTCTACACAACTTTAATTAACGAACGGATATTAGGGGCTGAGGCCAAATTAGCCTATGCCCAAAAACACAGTTTGGCTGAGAGGGATCTAAGAATGAGGATCAACAAACAGTTTGATAACGTCCGCAGTGTCCTACCAAACTTGATCAAAGTATGTGATGGAGAGAAATAGGTTGCATTTGAAGTTTATTTATAATAGTCGAGTTTACCATCAAATTGATAGCATGTCCCATTTGATATAGGCAGAGTCCACGTTGTGCAGTTTGAACAGCACAACACTTGTTTGTATTTATAAATGTATAAATAATTGCATCACATTTGTTCCACATAACAGAAGGACAAGGCATCTGTGCTAACAGAGATAGTGCGTCAAGTTAGGGACCTGAAGAGGAAAGTAGACGAGTTGAAAGCATATAGTCATGGAAGGATATTGGAGAGGATGTTACCTGGTGAAGCAAATGACTAGAGTTTGGTTTATTCGGAGAATGGAGGGTTGGTGAAAGCAACATTCAGTTGTGATGATAGGAGAGAGCTGGTATCTGATCTGACTAGGACAATGGAGTTGGTGAAGGGGCAGGCGGTGAGGGCTGAGATGGTGGTGGTCGGTGGGAGGACTAAGGGTGAGGTGTGGGTGAAGGGGGTTGGTGGAAATGAAGAGATACAGGTGGTTAAGAGAGCTTTGCAGATGGTTGTGGATGGGCCTGGTTCATATGAGAACAAGAAGATGCACTATTTTGCTCATTGATGGCAATAATGCCAAAGAAAGGTGCATTTGAGATTGCTTTCATGATACTTTTTCATATAATTATACACAATTAAAATTTTACCATCATGTGAAATAAAGGTGCATTTAATTAGGATTTACTTTCACAACACTTTTTTATAGTCATGCACTAGTAGAAATATTTGTTGTAATTAAACTAATTTTAATTAATATTTTGTATGTTTTCATATATTTATGCACAAGTAGACAATTTTCGAGGAATAATTATTAAATGCATAGCGTGTGAATGGATGAGGAGCTGGAAGTATTGTATACCATTATGCAACTTAAAATAAAAAATAAAAATAAAAATAAAAATAATCAAATGCTAATAAATAGAACTTACAGTGATGGGTACAATACAGAAACAATAATGGTCCCAAGTCCGTCTTAGTGCTTATAAAACACTAATTTCCTTCTAAAATTGGTTTTGGCCTCATCCTCTAGTTTCAAAATCAACCTTTAAGGAAACCATGGTGATGCCATCTTTATCAGTAACACAAACATGTTCGATGTTTTTGACCTGGAATGACTGTAGCTGCGATCAACAAGCGTAAGATGAGGTCAAGATAAATATAATATTCACTATGTGAAACCTTTCCAAACTTTGGGTGTCAAAGATTGCATAAAACAAAATTCGAATGCAAAGATTGCATATTTTAGATGTTAAATCCAAACCTAAAAGAAGCAAAAGGAAGGCATGTAACAAACCATAAGAAAATATGCATACAACTGATAAATATAAAAGAAAACATTAAACCAATAATGAAGTCTTGATTTAGTGGTTAAGATGGAGACCCGAGATGATACCCTTAAATTTAGCGCATAAGCCCAACAATTATGGTTGGGGTGTGGATCCTGGACCTGGGGCAGATTCTTCCAATTTGATACCAGCTTATGGTGAATTCCAGACCCTGAAAAACATGGGGTATGGGAACAACACCTATGGTGACATGCACCATAATTCTAATCCACCTGTTACATTATACCCAAGTTAACTGTTTAGTATTGCAGGAATTTTAACCTCCTATTACCTTAGCCTAAATTCAAGCTTGAGCTTAAATGGTGAAAATCCACTTTTAACCACCTCCCCAGAAGCCAAGTAGCTAACATATTTCATTCAGTGTTAGGTTTCATGTCAATGAGAAGAAATCATCTTCTAATTTTATGAGTTCGAGGTGAAAGTGAAAAGAACATATAAGAGGTGCTTTATATTTAGAACAATGGGATTGGGAAAAAAATTGATGATCAATTTCTTGTGAAATGTGAATCATGACGATGAATTAAGAAGAAGCTTGCTTTCCTCCCAATCCAGACCTCAATAAAATGTTTGGGTTGGTTTATCTCCGCTTGCTCTTCTTAACCTTACAGAAAAAGGGTTAGCCTGTCCTACTTGTTCATAGTCAGTTTCTCTACTACTACTGTGGCTCCTTTTCTTGGATGTTTCAGCAACTAAAATTTCAGATGAAGCTTCATTAACTGTGCTCTTATTCATCTCTTTTTATGTCTTCTTAGGACTGGTAGCACTTCTAGCCATATCAGGATCAAAATCATCAGAAAGATTGGTATCAGCAAATGCTGATGCACTGGATGATGCAAATTCTGTAGGTACTCCTCTGGAATGTTCACCATTATCATCCTCACCTTCTTCCAGAAGTGAAGCTTTAGGAGAGTCCTTAAATTCACCCTCCACTCCAAAATCCTCACCGTAAATTTCTGTGTGTTGCAAAATCAGTTGAAGGATGGCATTCATCCTTGTGACCTTGTCTCCAGTGAATAATTTGACACTTACCAGAGCTACATGAACAGGAAATTATTAGTCAATACCACAGAAAGATACAAAGCCATTACAACTGCATATCCCATGGTATTTTTAAGAACACGCTCATTTCAACCAAAATATAAAAGAGGGTAAGAAAATTATTTTTTTTCAGCTGCTACCATCTTAACCCTCAATTATATACATACCAACCATAGAAGGACTGCACTGCTTTTCAAAAAGCAACAAAATTTAGAAAGCACATATAAGAAGTTAGCTGTATCTCAATAAATGTCTTCTTTCTTGGCTTCACTACTAACTAAAACCAGCCAGAATGAATGCATACTCTTCAACTCATATAATTTGAAATCAGTAAAACATCTACAATTAAATCAAGAACCAGAAACATCACGGGGTCCACTCCCTCTCCCTCCATACACAGATATATGCTCTCATTCTAAACTACTAAAGTTGCTCATGACACAATATTTGCATTTAGTGACTTTGAACTCAGTTAAAAGAGAACAGAGAAACGAACCAGTAGCGAGCAGACTTGCACAGGGAGCAACGCGTGGTTGTGGGGCAAAAGCAGACTGCACATTGGTACGGCTTCAAGTAGCTGGAGTACTCAGCTACAGCTTGAGCCTTGACCATATCGACTTCCTGGGAGGCCATAAAGAGCAGCGTCGTGACTTCCTCCTTCCTCTCCCCAGCATTCCGCTGCTTTTGTCAGATTACCAAACAAAGAACCAGCAGCAACCCGACTACAACACACTGGAACCCCAGAATTCCTGGGGCCACCATTTATTACCAGACAATCTTTATTAACCGGCGCCGAGGACGAGTCCAGAACAGAGAAAATATAGATGATAGATAATGGTTATTCGGTGGAGAATGATTGCTCATAATACATTTCAATGCAAATCATCCAAATCATCTGTTAAGAGGAAGAAAATCTATTCTTGAGATTAAATCAGCACCATATTCGTGATGTCAAAGCTACACACGAAATAATGAACTTCTAACATGAAATTTCTTCTCTTTTTCTTCTTGGACATCATCAAGTCCTGGTACTAAAAATCAAGGCCAGATTAAAATGGAGGAAGAGAAAGAGAGGAAAAACAAAAGGGAGAGAAAAAAGAAAGAGAAAGAGGAGGTTGGGGGGAAGAAAGGAAGGTGAAAGAACAAACAATGAAGAAACAAGAGAAGGGGGAGAGAAAGGATGGAATGCTCTACAGGAAGAGAGGAAAAACAAGAAAGATAAGGAAATAAAAGGAAACAAAAAGAAAGGAAGAAAGAACCAAAATCAAAAGAGCAGTAGAAGCAAAAGGAGGCAAGGAATAAGGAGAAAGACATAATATTTGACTAGAAAATAACCAGATGAATGTCAGAAGAAGAGCACGAAGGCTCACAGTTTCTCTAGAGATTGGTTTCCATTATAGAATTTTAAAAGGTGAACTTCACCTTTTTAATCTTTAATTAATTTGAATGGGCTCTAATTATGTTGTGAACCCAAGAAGTTTTGGTTTACCTTACTGATAAATGTTCGATTTCCTAGAGTCTAAAAGGAGGTAATTTATTATGAATCCCCTAATCTCAACATGAATGACAAGTCTTTGATCGATCTAAGGAAAAAGAGTGATTAATCTTGAAATGCATATAAAAATTTAATTTCTTTAAATACACTAAACAGATATAGAGGATACGCCCTTAAAATTACTTAAAGCAGAAGTTACTTTCGAAATGTGCAAAAGCAAACCCTAAAATACCTTGATAGTAAAAAATGGCATTAGTTGAGAAGTAAACAATCCAAGAGAGTGTAGCATAAACTATTTGGTTTTCACAAGCCATCCCTAAGCACAACTTTATAAGTTGGCTACCATACTAAACAGAGTGACTACAAAAGGTAAGCAAAAGCAATGGACTCATGCTATCTCAAATACTTGCATCCTATGCAAAATTAGCTCAAAGTCATCTGAGCACTTATTCTTTAAGTGTAGTTATGGTAGCAAAATATGGAGGCAGATTAGTAATAAGATCAGTATTCCTCTTTTTGACTCTTGGTAGGGTTTGTTGCTTTGGATGGGAAAAAGAATATGAAGAAAATCCTTGCTTAGTATTATAATCAAGATATTATGAAATGCCCAATCTGTTACCACATTTGGATGGAAAGAAATAGAAAGATTCATCAGTAGCTCTTTAGAAGTAAAAGTACAATCATTCATGACATTTAGTTTGAGGTTAGAACTAGAATGTTGGGTTAGCTTGACAAAGGTCTTTATCTTTTCGTATGGCTATTGCAGTACAATAGGGGCTTGAAACAGTGGCGAAAGTTAATTTCTTGTGCACTAATAGCATGCATATTCATTCAATCTCTTTTATTTTGTAGCAACTCATAAGTTGTTTTATTGTACTCACAAATATTTTTGATTAAATAAATTCCCCTTTATAAAATATATATTATTAAACTTTACAAAAAAAAAATAATGTGTCTTCTGGAAAATTATAATGATTTGCCTTTGCAATGGAGTTTGTACTTAAATTCTAGGAGGGAAAAGTTTTAGCTAAAGTTCATTAAAGAAGGTAACACGTACAAAATTGACGCTTTGGCCGAGTGGTTAAGGCGTGTGCCTGCTAAGTACATGGGGTTTCCCCGCGAGAGTTCGAATCTCTCAGGCGTCGTTTATTTTATTTATTTATTTATATTGGCTATTTCCTTACCTTTTACGCGTGGTCCCCATCCAAGAAAAACACAACGCCAGTCAAAAGTGGGTTATTTGCTCCGATCCACTTTAGTTAGTCAAGTCCGCGTCCACGACTCAAAACTGCCCAAACTGCCTGCCCCGAATCCAACCTGCTCTGACTTTACCTCTGTCTTTATGGACTCGGTTCTGTTCAGGTGCTCTATAAGTCTCATTCTCGAACCATCCATAAAATGGGTCATCAGCACGTGGACTGCCTTCTTTGCCACCCAAATGGCCCAATTTAAAATGGGACTATATATATATATAAGAAAAGCGAGTGTGACCCACATGATAGACCGTTGTGATGATATCAGGATTGTTAAGCAGTCCTAAAAATCTGCAATCATATATACAGGTGTAGCTTAATTCGTCAACAATAAAGTCCCGAAGATGAATTAATTAATTGAACGAAATGATTTTAGTTAAACTAACAGCATAGGGTTGTCAAGTGGAAAACATTACTACTAAAATAACAGGTTTGGTTTTTTGTGAAGAAATAATGAAATATTTTTGCTGTTCTTACAAACAAATATACGTTGGAAAAATGAAAAATAGACAAATAACCATACACCACACCAAGATTCTCAAAAATAAGAGCCTATGGAATGAACCTAGAAGATGATGAATTAGGGAAGAATTTTAGAAAGATGTTGTTAAATAAAGTTAAGTATTCTA